ACACAACGTTCTATATCCTTGCTTGCGAGTGACACGTAATGTGGTCTTATCAAGAAGACAAAATAGATGAAATGCTACCAAGAAAATAGCAGAGTATTAGGTGAGAGACAGAGTTAATATTCGTCAACGTAATTCTGACACGACCATATAAAATCTTTGTAGCTGACACTCAAAGTGGAACCTATTACGTTAATGACTCTGACTGTTCTAGTGCACTAAATATAAGCACTAGTTGAATTCCGGCATCTGAGATTATCCTCGCAAGAAGACATGATTCTACTGCCCTCCTTGACCGCTCCAAATTCAAAGGCATTATATGGAGAACGGATCAAGGAGGATATACATATTATCGTACGCGCTTTATAGACGGTACAATCGCCAAATCATCTTCAGACGCTTTTGACAACAAGGACTATTTAGAGGCCTTTAGTATAAAATGGCGTAAACGCCTACATAAGTCACAGGCTGAAAAAAGACACTGTTTGTCTGGAAACTGGGATAAGGACTATGTATTAGATAGCAAGTATTCACGACGATGTATTAGACACGGTAATGGCGAACACGGTAATGGCATGTCGCCATTTATTTTAGAAACGATCTTATAAGTATGGTAGAAGCACACCGCGAACTGCATCTGGAGATCAAGTCGTTGTATTACAGTGAAGAGCGAGTCACATGATTGGGTGCATTTTTCAGACATTTGGTTCAATACTGACCTAAATATTTATCCTACGTAAATAAATTTGTGAAGTGATGACTGTACCCCTTGCGTAGCTATTGGCAGAGAAGAATTTTCGGCGCGAAAAGGCCGAGTACACAGGTTCCAAGCAAAAAAACCTACTAATGACGTACCATTCTATGAGTTCTGATTGGCCCATATGTTGGTACAGGTCGAAGTTGTTAGTCGTTAATCCCCTCCCCTCCGATTTTGGACCACCAAATGTCTCAAAACCAAAGTTGAACGGCGGATGAGATCCGTCCACCAATATTTCTTTATGATTACGTAAAATGAAAACGTAGCTAAATTGCTAATTTTGTGTTCAGTTCTTCCACAATATGTATGATGTCTGGCTGGGTTTTTTTTTGAGAAGGATATGAAAAATACTGAAACGCATCACTTTTGGTTTCACAGGGATCAGCCGGCCAGGGGGTCTTTTAATTAAAATTTACCATCAACAAATATGGAAAAATGCTATACTTTCTGTCGATAGAAGTGAATAAAAACATAAACCCTAAAAAGAGGACTATTTGGAGTTTGTTTTATAAAAAATAGAAAGGACTCAAGAGCTTCAAGGGCTTTTTTTTAAAAGCTCTTTTTATATATATATATATATATATTATTTTTTTTTCCGTGGGATAAAATTAAAAATACATATAAACTGTCAAAATATTTTATCAGCGAGTTATGTATTGTACTTAGCTGAACATTACTCTCCAGTAGACAAATGTAGGGCAGTCGGGGACTCCTCGGGGCCCCTGGGGCTGAGCTGAGAGCTCAGAGCTGGATGCGTCGACCAGTGACCAAGATAAAAAAAAAGATAAATAGAGATGGTTTGCTTTAAAAAAACCCCCCTCCAAAAAAACATCAATTTGCGATATTCATTTTCATAAATAAAAACAATTTTTAAATATAGGAAAACAAATATTTCAAAATATAGTGTAGTTTTTTATCGACAATAAAAATGAATTCGTCTGAGTGAACTGAGGTTCGTTGTTGTAGATTATTATTAAAATATTTACTTTTTATAAAGGAAACATGTCGTAAATTCCTCAGAGAGAGAGAGAGATATATATATATATATTTAGTTATGTGTAAGCTGCATTGCTGAATTAAAATTGAACTTTAACGCCTATTTTCATGTTCTATATACTATAAAACAGTTATGTAGCTCAAATATGGCCAACAAAATTTCAAAAACTGCACTTCGAATGTGCACCTAAAATCCACAAAATAGGCTATATTGATTTTGATGACTCATATCCCAATTCCCAACAGTCGGCCTGTTTTGTCATTTTTGGGGCGCTCAACAGCCTCAACTGGAGACAAATCTGCGGACCTAGAAATTACAATCCATAGGACCAAGTATGTAATAAAAATTGAACTTTAAGGCTTATATCGGCATGTAATAAAAGTTTTAACGGTTAATGCATAACAAGCCAGAGTGAAACCTGAGTTGATAGAGCGGCAGATCCCTGGAGTCCCAGACTGTCCAAACTGGCAAACAACGTGTTTTTGGGGTAATTTTTACAGTATAAAAAACATTAGGTTTTTTAAAAGAGTAACTCTAGAAGTTCCGGACAAGTCTTCTTTGGCTTTTGTTTTAATTTTTAGAACACACCAGAGGTCACCGTCAGACTCTGAGAGTGTAGGCTTTGAAAAAAACAAAAGGAGTAATTCATCATTCAACCCAAGATAGGGAGAGTCGGGGACTCGAGGCTAAGCATAAATAGCCTCCTAAATTGTTTTTTAGTTTTGTTTAATTTTTTTTTACAAATAGTCATAGAACATTTGATGATATTTGATGACTTGAAACCTTTTGGTCCAACATAATTTTGTTGATTAATAACTGGTCTTTTAAATTAACGCGCAAACTATGGTCTAATTGACATTGATTTTAATGGCCTATTATGCCAATGAAGACTGATTGTTCAGTGCAAACTTGCATTTTAACTCAATGAAATGTGAATAACTAGGCTAACTAGACCTTTGTTGACCTTTAACTTCCAATGGAACGGTCTTCTATGAGTTGCCTGAATTTCCAGATCTTCTTAATACCAATCGCATCTTCATCTGAAGCCTCGCTATTCGATCAAGTCATCCCTCTCTCTCCTAACCTCAATTACCTCATAACGTTCCGCCATAAAAGTTGATACGTTCAACGAATAATGTTTAACGGGTCAATCAAAAAGGAAGGAACATATATATATATATACTCCATTGGCCTAAAAAAATCGGTCAGCGCAACCTCCAGTCTCAGATTGCACACCTAGTCACCTACTACCATATATTTTTTGTATAGCCACATATTATACTGTTTAGATCAATAAAAAGGGTGCGAATACTAGGACAAAACTTGGCGACTTGCTTGATCTGGAATGTAATCCCTTCTCAGTCAACGCTCAACAGAATTTAAAAAAACGTAGGATTTAACGTAGGAAACTAAGAATGTTAGATTTCCGATGAGGTTAGTCTCTCTCTCTCTCGCTCTCTCTCTCTCTATTATTTTTTATAGAAAAATATATATATTTGAAAATTTAGTACACATACAAAATCACTATTGTTTAAAAGAAATAAACATACTGTAGAAACTGTACTGTAGTAGTAATTTTTTTTCAGAAGGTTCTGATTTGTTTCAAATAAATATTTCCAACTTGTATTTCATTGCTCTTTAAAAAAAAATCAGATTTGTCTTAAAATCCCACTCTTTTTCGAACATTTAGTCCTTCCATGCCTGATTTAGTACACGTACATACATATGAGGCTTCATATATTATTTTTATAAATATACAAATAGCACATATGTATGTCTAATAGTTTGTTTAAAAAAATAAATACAACGTTTGATTATTTTGAAAAATCAAATGGAGTAGAGATAGTACGTGCAAATTTCTTCCTCAATATATAAGTATCATTTCATTCTGATAACTGGGCCACAGATTCACAGACTGGAGAGAAAAACCATACAACCCAAAGTCCCAAACTCTCAAAGTGTGTCCCACAGACCCACAGACCCACAATCCCACTCCAAAGTCAATGACCAAAGACCCAATTCCCAAAGTCCCAAAGTTCAAAGTCCAAACCCGGGATTTTAAAAAATAATAAAAACTGATAATATTTAAGATTTATTTGCCTACAGGTTACATACAGCCCTACATACAGCCCACAGGTAGGTTCCCCAAAGCCCAAGAGTAGACACCACCTCTCTGTAGAGAGTAGTAGTAGTCGCCAAGACGGTCAGCATTCCGTAGGTCTATGAACATTTTTTCACAGAAACGTGACACTTGCTGTAGAGTGTCCTAAATAGATTTTAATAGAACTCCTCCTGCTGCTGAGGAAAGTAGATATCACACGAAAAATCAAATAGGACTCGCTCAAACGCGTGACGGATTGACGGTCATTACTCATTGCTGAGTGCAGAGTGCAGAGTGCAGAGTGCAGAGTGCAGAGTGCAGAGTGCAGAGTGCAGAACTACTAGTAATGTCAGTGTGACTGCGTGTGTTTGGGACTGTAGCAGTGGCCTGTGGGAGTCTGGGCTCGCTGGCCTCTCTGGCCGCTGGGGTGAGGGACTGATGAGGGTATGAGGGCGAGGCCCTTCAGACAGAGTGCTGCACTGCTGCCTCGCTTGCCAGTGCATATTTATATTGATATTTATTTTTTTAGAAATAACGGTTTTGGTTGTTTGGTAATATCCCCAGATAATTATCGTATGATGTAAAAATTACCCCCTGCCCCCCCCCTGCGGGCCCTACCACCCCCACACTCCCACAGCCCACAGCCCCACAGGGAACAGTGGGTCCCCCGGGCTCCGGGCCCCCAGCCCACGTCCCACATTCGTATTTATGTTTAAACCCTAAAACTTCTCGTCGCCTATGTTTTGTCGCACAAATACTGGTGTTGAATTTCTTACGGGTGTTCACCGAATCTCACGAGTCACGACGTGTTCACCCATCTACACAAGAGTTTCAACCGGCCTCTATATCCTCTACCCTCTGAAGGCTCTGATATGATGAATAAATTTAAAAAATATACATATATATACACAAACTTGGGTTTTATTTTACTTTCATTATATTGTTTTTTGTAAAAGATATATAAATCACATAACATTTGTCATCGAACGTTTTTTTAGAACATATGAAATTTGTTTTCAAAAAACAAGATAATATTTATGTTATGAATAGTTAAAAAAAGTTTTTTCTAATACATAAATATATCTATGTATGATATATATATATATATATATATATATATATATGTATATTATAATATACGCACGTCACAACAAGGTATTTAGTCGACAACTGGAACTATATTAATATATTTAAGTAGTGCATAACAGATAACCTCTGTAGAGAGCCATCCAGGTCTCTCCGCAAGTACATACTTCCAAGTGTGATACATTCAAACACACGGTTACTTAACGTACATATTCGATTAAGGAAAAGAAAGAAAGAAACAACTGAGCACAACATTCATACGATGGGTAGTACAACGAACATGTCTCCTCAACTATTTGTTGACGCTTTGCAATACTACGCTTACTCAGGCGACGTAGTATGTTTGCTAGCGCCGCAAAGCAGTTTGTTAAGCGCACCTAACAAAGATGGCGATACGCCTCTGCACACAGCGGTTTCCAATTACAACACACAAGCCGTGTCTGCGTTCGCACGGCTCATGAACGTCAGTGGATTGGATACACCCAATAGTGACATGGACACAGCATTGCATCTAGCTGTACGCACGAATCAGATAGGTGTAGTGGATCTCCTTACTGGTTTTGGTGCCGACATAAGCACACAGAATAATATGGGCAACACGCCTCTGCATCTTGCCAACTCGGATTTGATGGTGCACGCGCTCCTGTCCAGAAGCAACCCGGAGCTTGTAAACAAAGCTTTGGACACACCAGACTACAACGGAAATACACCACTTCTGAAAATGATCAACAGTGGAAACCTGCGAACCATTGAATCTCTTGTGATAGACTTTGGCGCCAACGTAAACACATCCAATACCGACAGCGGTCGCTCAGCTCTGCACATCTGTGCGAGATTCGATTCATTCCGAGTTGCCAATCTCTTGCTTGAATTCGGTGCACAAACGGATGCCGTGGATACACACGGAGCTACGCCTTTAATCAGTGCTATGCAGTATGATGCAGTGAAAGTCGCACGTATTTTAATAGACTATGGGGCCGATGTGACAGCTGCTAATAGCTATGAGGTCACTGTACTAGAAACTGCACATAACTACCAATCAAGTCGAGCACTTTCCGAGCTGTTTGCGGTACCGAGTATTACTGTGCCACAATGTAAGTACCTTCGCACGGGAGAAGTTATGCTGGCTCTAAAGTCCATGTCAATCAGCAATCCGGATATAAACCTTAGAGACGCGCATCAATCAACACAAGCAACGGCTGAATGCTCGACGCAACTCCAAACTACACGTCGTCCGTTGATTCCTGTGAATGCACCGACTGAGAAGATGGTGCTATTGAGCAAGAAAAATTCGTCACAGGCCGCCAAAGAACGATCTGTACCCCCTGCATATACGCCAGTAAAGCTCACAAAGGCACCCCAACCCACCGCTGGCGCTGTGGATTTTGAAGATGCGGATCCTGAATGGCAAGTACTGGACAGGGATGAACTCAAATCAGAGAATCAAGAAGCTTGGCAACTGGGACAGACTCGCAGCAAGCGGTTGGCACCTGGGAATATATTGCGCAATCTCAGGGAAAAAAAGGTGTGTACTCTTATCTCCTATTTTATTATCCTACGCCTGTTTTACTTGTCACCTGAAACGTTGTTATAACTATGTTACAAAAGTATTTGTATATTCTGTATGTGTTTCTCATTGGCTGTTTTGACTTTTTACAGGACAAGCAAAAGAAGAAGTCAACTTCATCTGGAGAGTCTAACTCGTCTGCGACAGAAGAAAAGCGACGCTTGGCGGAAAAGTACGGTTCAGGCGAGACCGCCACTTTGCACGTAAGTGCTTCAAATCCACACGACGAGAAGAGGAAAATGCAACAAAAATATGATCTTGTGGTGGAGGGTAAGGAAGGGAGTAATGCCAAGGGCTCTACAGCGGCAGCCAACAAGGCTGCTGAGGCTCGATTAGAGGCGCAGAAGATGAAGGTCGTAACAAGTCTGGACTAAGAAGCGGATTTGGCAGGAGCATTGCACACGTACATATTCACTGAAATTACTATAAGAAATCCATAATCATTAGAAGCTGAACTGCTGAAGTCACAGCAATAGCAGCATATCATTTATATTTAGAAACTTTATTTGTTTTTAAAAAGCTTTAAAAAAAACAAACTAAGTACCAAGTCCAACAACAGATAAAGAAAGTAAAAAATAAATAGAAAAAGGCTCCGAAAATACGTACAATCCGTGTTTACATACATAATTTAAAAAACAAAACAAGAAAAGTAAAAAAAAGAAAAAGAATATATTCAAATACAAGCACGCCATCCAAAGAACCATAGGCAATTAGGCATCCAAAGAACCATAGGCAATTAGGCATAGCCTTCTGAAAAAAGAACACCATAGGCCATATTTAGCCTTCCATATAATTCAGATTTTAGAGGGCTAAATATATTTATCCCCATCATGATGTAAATAAATACCCAGCGCCAAGCGATCGGGGATTTAAAAAATATTTAGACATATTAAAATATGTAAATGAACAGTATTTGTTAAAACAAAAGCAAAAAAAAAAAACATAAAAAATGTATTTTGCCCTATATGTAATATAAAATAAAGTAAGAAATCCAGAAATAAAATAATATAGGTTAGAAAGTAGATCACGGCTTGGAAGCCGCGGGGACTAAAAACGAATACTCATAGGGGTAATTTATTTGTTCATATTCAGACTAAAAGTGCTCTGTTGATTTGTTTTTAAAAATTAGTAAAAACTGTATTCAACAGTAGACGCCCTAATAGCCCCCTATCACGCACGTACACGCTCTCACTCACTCACTCACTCTCACTCACTCACTCACACACACACACACACTCACTCACACACACACACACTCGCGCACTCTCACACACTCTCTCAACACACTCTCTCACACACACATTCTCAAAAAGATACACACTCTCTCATACTCATACTTACACTCACACACACACTTACATTCACATTCATACTCATACACTCTTACTCAAACTCGCGTTCAAACTCACGCTCACATTCACTTTCACATTCACATTCACAATAACATTCACATTCACATCACATTCACGTTCACATTCACGTTTACACTCGCACTCACGCTCGCACTCAACAACTTTCAGTCTCAGTCTTAGTCTCACTAAGACTCACACTCCTCCAAACTGTAACCTAAGTCAATCTGCTAGTTTTTTTTGTGTA